GGTCATTTTTGCTGTCATCAACAACATTGTCAGGATGAATATCATTGACAGACACATTCTTGATGTTGAAACCCACATTGTCCCCAGAAAGAGCTTCACTCAGAGCTCCATGGTGACTTTCAACAGACTTTACTTTAGTTATGACATTGACTGAAGTAAAGGTGACCACCATCCCTGGTTTGAGAACATCAGTCTCCACTCAGCCCAGGAACAGCACCAATACCACCAATTCTGCAGTCGTCCTGGAGGGGCAGCCATAAAGGCTTAGTAGTTGGGTGAGTGGGTGGAAGGATGCAACCCAGTAGTTGGGTGAGTGGGTGGAAGGATGCAACCCAAAGCTTCACGCAGTGTGGTTCCACTGGCATTGCCATCTTTACGAGTGATGTTCTACCTCTTGAACCAAGGCAAATTAGCTCTTGGTTCCAGTATGTTGTCAGCATTCCAGCTAAAGATTGACACCCAAGCTACTGTGTCAGGGTTGTAGCTGATTTTCTTAATGTGGGTGCTGACTTCCTTAACTGTTTCCTCATATGTCTTTCGGCTGTAGGGTGGCTATGTGGAATCTATTTTGTAAATACCAGCAATTAATTGTTTCCTACCAGGTGCGAAAGCTGGAAGGGGATGCCCACGGGTCTGCCTGTTGTTAGAGATACCAGCTTTGAACTCATCAACACCAGCAGCAACAATAAGGACACCACAGTCAGCCCAAGATGTGCCTGTAATCATAAAGTCTCTGCGACCTGGGGCATCAATGTAGTCACATAGTACTTACTGGCCTCAAATTTCCACAGGAAAATGTCAATGGTGAAACCATGCTTGTACTCAGCTTTTGGTTCATCCAGGACCTGTGTATACTTGAAGGAACCCTTCTGTATCTCAGCAGCCTCAAATTTTTCAGTGGTTCTTTTGTTGATGCCACTACATTTATAGATCAGATGGTTGGTAGTGGTGGACTTGCCCGAATCCGCAGGTCTGATGATGATGATATTAGTGAGTTTCATCCTTTCCCATGTTGGCTTTGATTTAGTGGCAGTTTTTACTGCACCTATGCTATCATGGCAAACCCACTGCAAAACAGCCTAAAAGGATTTGTAAGGCTTGGCTGGGTACATCTGGTCATCTCATCCAATCCTCATAGTGTAGAGCAGGGACCTGTCACCAGAAAGTGTTCTTCATGGTCCCCAATGTTGATGTCTTTCTTCTTTTCTTGTCCCAGCTGGTTCCTCCACGTTTCTAGGCATGGCTCTCATTCATTTGAAATCATTCCTTGTGAACTCCTTGCTCTGCTATTCTACTCCCTTTCCATTGGCCATTTCACAGGCTGATAGCCATGTAAGCTGCTTGCAAGGAGCAGTGTATGGGTGGGGGCTTTACTTTAGGATGACCAGGGCTAGAGCACTCCCACGTATTAGAATGAGGAAGGTGTGTGTGTGTAAAGATCAGAAATTCAGCTGGGCATAGTGGCCAGTGTTAGGTAAAATCCTAGCACCTAGGAGGCTGAGGCAGGAGGATTGCAACTTTGAAGACACTTTAGGCTACATAGAGAATTTAAAACCATCCTGGACTACGTAGTGAAGATCCTGCCTAAAAACAAAACAAAAGCTAACAAAAAAGTCCAGGCATTCATTTACTTACCTTGAAGAGATTTCAAGAACAATTGAACACACCCATGATATACAGACTTTCAGTTAGGTGTTCAGGTTGATATCTCAACCTTGAACTCCTGTGATGGACAGAAAAAAAAGACGTTTCAGTCCCAGCTTGTCACTGTCATAGCTCTGGGCTTTCTATTTTCATGTGCTTCCTGTCATTTAGGGCTTTGAACCATGGTTTTTTACGACTCTCATGCCTGCTAAAGGCTTTGAAATGTTCTGCTGCCTTGGATGTGCTCTCTGGTATTGTTCTGAGTACCATGTCAGTCTAGTGCCTACCCATGCCTCACCTGCACCCCATACATCTACCCAGGCCTCCAAGCAGAGGAGAGGAGCAGCCTGACTGCATTGTTTTTGTTAGTGACTCAGGCTGTGAGCACTTGGAGAGAAGAGTTTGATCATGTTTCTTTCACTTGCTCATGTTGAAATTTTGATAGCAAAGAAGACAGAGAAGGATTCCTGGAACAAGGAGCAGAGAGTCATAGCACTGGGAGGGACTGAAGTAGGAAGCCCTAGCCCTTGTGGAAGGCTAAGGCTGGCAATTGTGTGCGGCGGAATCTCCAACTGTCCTCATCTGCCTTGAGTCCTACATGGGCACAGTGATAACTAATGGATCATTGTACATGCTAAGGTGCTTTTGGTGCAGATACCAGAAACCAAGATCTGCTAACTCTGGCTAGCATAAAGGAAGGGGAGATATTCAGCTGCATGGGTGGATGACTACAGACACAAAATGTGGGAGACACATGCAATAGGATATGATGCACTCTTCTAAGAGGTTGCCTTCCTGACACACACTACAACATGGTGGAGCCTTGAGAACAGTGTATTAAGTGAAATAAGCCAGTTTAAAAAGGACAGATACCATGATTCTATTCATATGAAGAGTCTAGTATAATTACATTCCTAGTAATAGAAAGTGGAAAGCTGGTTACCAGGCATTGGTGGGGAGAGAATGGTGGGTTAGTATTTCATAGATACAAAGTTCCAGTGTGGGAGATTGAGGGAATATTAGAGACACAGAGTGGTGGTGATTGCATTACTAGAGGTTAAAGTCAATGCTGGAATAAAAAACAGAATTTTTGGTAGAAGGCAAAAGGCTTATTCAAAGCTAGCTCTGAAGCAGGTAGGGCGGCCTGTCTGTTGCCTTCACTCTGTGTCTTCTCCTGTGTTCAGGTGTGCAAGAAGTTAATGTGGGTTTGAGGGTTAGAATACAATGAGTCACTAGACAAGGAAGTTCCCATGTGGCTTTGTCTCCTGTGTTCTTGGTTCCTCTCCTCCCTTGTGGAAGTTAAGTCAGACCTCAGCCTCCTGGGGCTGGCATCTGTGTATTTTCAGATGAATATGCTATTTTTCTATCAGACACCTGACCTTTCTCCAAGTCCATTTATCTGATCAGGGTGTGTATACATGTGTGTGTGTGTGTGTGTGTTTATGTTCTCAGCATGAGGAGGCTGGAAAAGCATTTTACCTCTTTAAAAAATCATAATTATTAAAAATCTCTATTAATGTCTTGGTTATAGTTGTAAATTAATGTGAATGTGTTGACCAATATACTTAAAATTATTAAAATGATACATTTTGTGTTAGTTATGTCTATTTTAACACACATACACACGCACGCACACACACACACACACACACACACACACACACCTCAAAACCCCACAACCGGCCTAAAGTAACAAAAATTATTCCAGAAGTGCTTCTGTGGTACTACAAGAACTCTTTATTTATTTTAAAGGAGAGTTAATGGTTAGGATGCTGGGGGACCTCATGGACTTGAAAGACTAGCTGAACCCCTAAGTCTGGAGCCAGGGCAGGGAGCAGAGCAGAGGAAATTTCAGGCAGGAGTCCACAGACCTCCTCTTCCTCTGGGATGCTGTGAGAAGCTGCATCTGCTGCAGCAGCAACCAGTCTGTGTTTCTCAGGTCTAAACTGCCAGAGTCCAGCTGGTCAGGTGCCCTGAGTAGATGAATGTGGACTGGGCCAGAGATGCAGACTTGCATCAACGTGACAATTGGAGGAAGTTATGACTTTGTGTACCAGAATCCAATTCATTGGGCAGTTTTTAGAATCATCATTTTGCTATGCCTATTTTTTTCTTTTAATTATCTAACATTAGTCTGCCTGAGTTTTGGTTTTCCCTCACTGCAGGTTTTGGGAGAATGTTGAATTCAGCTGGAGTCAGCTCCCTTCTGTTGAACTGGGGAAAGAATGCTAGTGAGAAGAGAAGACCAGATGTCCTTGGTGCTGTGCACCTCAACCGTGACAAGGTAATCAAGAGAACATAGAGCCACCCTTGAGAAAAATTGAGATTAAGTTTTTTTCTTGCTATCAGAAAAAAAGATTAATTTGGCAATTAGGAATTTTTTTGTTTGTTTGTTTCTTGCAAGCCTGAGGTTGGACCAAGCATTTACTTCCCCCACCCTGACTCTTTCTGTCCTGAAAGCTCAGGGTGGAAGCAAGAGACTGGTAGTTGATATCCTCTCTACATACGGAACCCAAGGAAGACCAGTCATAGTGGGAAAGTACAATGCTTCTACAACAAAGTAAAAAACAATTAACATGAAAATTCCCTTCATGATGGACCAAAAAAGGTTTATTTTGTTTTGGTAGTGGGGACTGAGCTACATCCTAGCCCTTTACAAAAAAATTTGTTTTTATTTTTTTAAGTCTGAGTCTCACTATATAGTTCAGGCTGATCTTGAACTCACTATGTAGCCCAGGCTAGCCTCCCACTCACAGTAATCCTCCTACCTCAGCCTTCTGAGTACTGGGATTACAGACACATACTACCATGCCCAGGACCTTTTTACAGTTTTTGAGACAAAATTCTGCTAAATTACCTCAGCTGGGATCAAATTTGTGGTCTTCCTGCATCAGCCATCCAGAGTTCCGGTATTACAGGTGTGTTCCATCACACCCAGCTAAAAATTATGTTTTTAAAGAAAAGAGTGAAAAAATAAATCTAGGAAACAGTTAAGATGGACAGGAAAAACCAAGAGTTCTAAGGGGTCTTCAATAGAACAAGATCTAGAAGGTAGACATGGTCTGGCTGCTGGAATGTGGAGCACCGTTCAGAAGCTGGTGATTGAACTGGGGTAAGCAACTGAAAGCAGAGCAGGAAGAAAGATGTTTGTCTTTGTACGGAGCATGGCTTTTTCCCACATTCCTTCACTTTGACATTTCCTCCCACGATTAAAACAACGTTCAAAATAGTTTTCCTTTATTTTTGATCATTGGTCTATTTTTCTGACCACGACTGCTCGTGTTCTCATAGGCTTATTCCATCCTCCCCCAAACCTGGGCTTCCATGGAGGCCCGATTGTCATGGAGACTGGGGAACTAGAGCTGGCCCTTCCCTTTTCCAGTCACTGAAGCCAAGTTCTTGGGAGGCAACTAAGGTAGGGTGGGACTGTTGATGAGATTTTGGACCCATTCATCTGTGGGGTTGGCGCAGACTTCTCGGTTCTTTTTGGGGGCAAAGCTGTGGAGGCAGAGTTAATGGTCATGAGCTATGGAGTAGGAGAGGGGCCCAGTTCACAGCCTCCTCCAGCTCATATGGTTCATATTCTCGTAGTCTTCCTTGGGCCCCCTGTGTGGGTCCCTGCAGAGCTCTCTGATTTAAACCTCTCTGTCTCTTCTGTCAGGCCTGGACCCTCAGGCCTGGGTTGAATAACAAACACCACTTATTGGCCCCTACAGGCACAGGTGGTAAGGTGAGGAATTAAACCTAGGCTTCATCACCCAAGCCCACAGCCGCTACTTTACTGCTCCTACATGGTGACCTCTTGGCCTGTATGTCCCATTCCAGCCTCCACATTCTCTCCTGTTCACACAGAAATACCTGCAGGGAATGCTTACATGATGGCTGGCAGGGCACAATTGAGGGCCTTTCTGTATCCCAACACCACTTTCTGCGGCAAGGATTTCTCATGATGCTTCGAGCAGCAGGTGATAGCAGAGTTTATCGACTCAGGAATTTCTGAAAGAATCAAATTGCAAGTTGAACTGGCAAAGTAGAGGAAGAGAACATGGCTGCCCACCTCCATCTCCTACCTCTGATGTACCTGTTAGCAGGGACTTATGAGAGCTTGATTGGTCATAGGGAAAGTGACAAAGATGAATGCGTCTTGGGGACAGACACAGGAACATTCAGCCTCTGAACTGAGGTTGGGGAAGAGGATCAGGCTATGAGTGAGAGGAGTTAGATAGGAGGAAAAAGTGAATGATTTGGACCATTTTGGGTCAGAGTCTTGACCCACCGTCTTGGTTACTTTTCTCTCATTGCTAAGACCAAATACCCGACACCTAAAATGAAGGAAAGTAATGTTTATTTAGTTTATGGTCTGTGGAGGTTTCAGTCCATAATCAGCTGGCTCCAAGGCAGAACAGCATGGCACGGGGCAACATTTCAAGGGCAACAGTTAGCAAAAGCAGCCTAAACAGAAGAGGGAAGAACAAGCCTCTTTTCCTCCCTTATACTGTACACAGGTCACCCCCTCCAAAGCACAAAATCTCCTTGTCCTCTTCTTGCAGAGGTAGAGGATATTTACAAAGTAAGAACACTGACTTGCTGAGTCTCTTAAACTTGTAAACTTCTCAAGATAACACAATGTATCAACTATAACACTCACTTTCCTCCTCAATTACATAAGAATAAAAAGATACTCATATTTTACACAGAAGCATGGTGGAATAATTGAGAAAATTTTTAGCTCAGAGCCTGGTACCTAGAAAAAATAAGCTCACTCAGAGCTTATTATAATTGGGAATAAATGTTAGTAATGACTACTCTTCTTGCCTGGGAGGTAGCTCGTTTCTTTCTTTATGACACTTGCAGGGTGCTGTGCTAGATTATCATTCTTGAGCTCCCCTGACTACTCATCAGTTGCGGATATTACACAGGAAGTCAGGCTTCACCATCTCCTAAATTGGCAGAATGCAAATCCGTTCGTAGCTGGATCCTGTGCCTCCAGCTGGTGACAAGGTCTGGAGTATCTCCAGAGCTCCAGGTGGCTGATTCATGCTTCAGGCAGGCCATATTCTCCTCCTTGCAGTCTGAACCCACTATACTAGCTGAATGGTCCTTCCCAAGGGCACTGCTGCCCATCCCTCCCACCAGACACATACACCCCCTCAGTAAGTGACTCTGGGTATAGTCCCTCTAGAACTGATGTTCATTTCCCTGGTTCTCAAACAAAGTTTACAAAGACCAAGGTCATCCTGACAATGTGTAGGCCGACTGCACGGTGGATTTGACACTTGCTCCCCCTGGCTGCATGCTTAGGGTAGCCTTAAGAGAAACAAAAAGGGCAGAGGCAGCCAAAGATGGGTACCTAGGAGGGCTGAGTATCTGTGTTTTTTCTATTACCAAGTTTTCATAAATGATGGTAGAGGCAGAGGATCAGAAGTAGGCAAAACAAACCGTATTCTCCATAGGTCACAAATAGCTCCCCATAGTTCCCAAACCGCCTTTCTCTTTCCTGCAGACTTTATTTGGTCTTAGGTGGGGTATGGAGAAGGGAGCCATAGATTCCACCCAAAATACATTTAGCCTCCTACTGGGACTCATTTTGGTTGTAAATAATCCCACACTCCAGGCCATCTCCTGTGAAGAAGGGGTGTCTCGAGTCAGACTCCTCATTCCTCAGCTCAGTTCCAAGCAATTGCTTCCACTTGCCTCACCCTCCTCTTCCTTATAGACACTTCTTGTTCTCTGTTACTTTTGCTGCTGCCCCTACTAAATTATCATTCCTTAAGACCCCTAGGATATAACTTGCTTCAGCTTCCCGGAACTGTCCACCCCTTGAAGGTTCTATACCAAGCCCAGCTCTACATGCAAAGAGGAGCAATAGAAGACAGCAACTGGGCATGAAGGTGGGGAGAGGCCCTGGAGCTCATGCAGCCAGAGACCCAACGGCACTCTTGGCATTCCTCTCCGCCAGCTTCCCGTTAGCCTTTCTCATCCCTGCCTTACGGGAACAGGAAGACTCACTTGGCTGGCTGTACAAAGCAGAGGTCGTGGTGAGGACGAATAGGAAGAGAAAGAGGGCAGCCACAGAGACCTTAATCCTCTCAGTGGGGCATACAGCACTAGCAGAGAGCTGAGTGGCAGTGTCTGTCTTGCTGCTGGTCACCTGCACTCCGATGGCTCAGCTTTTTGGACTCTGACCACTTCAGAGTTGAGGGAGGAGAAACACTGGGCCTCTGTGTTGGCTGAAAGAGAGGGAGGTGGAGGCTAGGGCTGGTGCAGGCTTGAGCTGGGTAGGATTTGAATTCATGAGAGGAGATGGATGGAGGACTGCAGAAAGGATGTGCCGTTACCACTGTGTGCGCCCTACCTTACTAATCCTCACCATAGTCAGGTAGTGATTGTCACTCCATGGGACACTGACACTTAGGGGTAAGTGAATTGCTCACGGCCCTTGGGCAGGAAGTGGATGAGATGCAGTACTGAGAGTTGTGTATTTTCACCATTTTACCTCCCCCTGCCTTGGTGCTGGGGAAGAAGGGAAGGATTGAATGCTGCAGTATCCTTCTGGATTGGGTTTGGAGCAGGTGAACATAAAACAGGATTAAAGACAGCACAGACTGAGGCACAGGCAGAGTCTGGTGGCCTCTGAGAAGGACGTCCCCCATCCCTAGTCAAGGGACAAATGACTGAATTTACTTTTTATGTCATGGATCATGCTACTAATATTTCAATAAAACAGTGAGGCTGACCCCTGAGTTCCCAGTTGTTGCTGAGGGACTTGATTTGTTGTATTCTTATTTATTTCTTTGGACCTCAGACTCTGGGTCAACTTTTAGGTGATCTCTCCTGGATGTCAAAAAGACAGGTTCATCCAGCCCTGCAGCTGTGGTCAATATTGAGCTGCAGAGGGCGCCCAACGGTGGGCCTGATAACCAGCGTAGGTAGTCCAGAGTTCACCTTCTGCCAGTCTGGCTCTCTGGCTGGATCTGTCCCACGGTGGCACCCTCTCTCTTTGGATTTCCCTCAGGCCCTGGTTGGAGGCAGCAGTAAGCAAAGTGAGAGAAAATATAGAGGAGTTTGCTGTGAACAGACTGTGAGCTTTAGAGGCACAAGGGAAGTGTTAGAGGAGCTGAGAGAAGATGGGGTGGGGTGGGTAGAACAGGCAAAATGTGGAAACTTAGGAAACTTGCTGATTAGCGTGACTACTCATATACAGCTAAAACATGATGCAACTGGTCCTGGAAGGCTCAAGGCAGTTAGTGGTAGCGAAACTGTGGTTTTCTGTTAGGCGAGGGAGGGTGTGTATGTGGGGTACGCCCTTGACCTCTGTTTAATATAGGTGAGGAAGTCTGAGGATATCTTGTGCCTTCGACATACGGGGCTGCTTTCAGCCTTGACTGTGAACCGAAGCCAGGAAAGAGTGGTCATGGTTCCTGCAATGGCCATTACTCTTACTGCAAGTAAACCAGGTTTCTGCTTGAACCCTGGAGATAAGTTTGAGAGTTTGTTCTTAGAGCACAGACCTTTTTTCAATTCCTGCCTTCTCCCCCTCTCCATCTTTCTTTCCCTTCTTCCTTGCCTTTCTTCCTTTGCACCTGGGACCGGTTAGGCTTTCTGCTAGACCTCATGTGTAATACAAATAAAGTAATATAGTACAAGCTGGTAAATTAGGGGAAAAGACTAGAAAAGTGTTTGCATGAATCTCAGATAGCAGTGAAGAAAGACTTTCGGAGCAGTACACACACACACACACACACACACAGAGCAGAATCTGAAAGCCAGCTGCTGAGGTCTTCAGGAAGATTTACCTCTAAGATCAGCTGGTGAATTCTAGCTTTATACTTGTTGTGCAGCTTCAATAACTGGTGCAAACAGACTGCTTAGCAGGGTACTGGGAGTGTGGAGGGCACTACCAGAGTGATGTGTGTTGTCAGTGTTGTGAGGAGGTGACATTTATCCTTAGTGTCTTCTGCACACTCTGCTTAGCTTCCCACTATCTCCATCGCAGGTCTGACATTTTTTTTCCCACCAGGATCCGGTAAAACTTCTGCACAGTAAGGTGTGCCACAATCCAGGCTGGGCTCATTGGTATTCTCTGTCTATTGCTAGTGAATAAATTCAGTAGAAATGAATGAGGGCAGGGAAGGACATGGATTGTCTTTAATTCAAGATAGGCTAGCTTGGGGTATGGGTTATGCTGGGCTGAGTGGCGGGAGGAAGGGGCCTTGGCCTCTTCCCTACTTTTTAGGTCACTGAGCTGTGTCCTTTTCTAGTGCTTCTGGATCTCTCAGTTCTCCTCCAGGTCCTTTACGTAGTCCTGGACCCACTCATTTTCAGGATTGGCACAGATGCGATGGCCCTTTGTGGTGATGAAGCTGTGGAAAAAGAAGGAGAAGGATTATATATTGAGGGGACCAGCAGTCAGGAAGAAAGCCTGGCCTCTTGCCTGCCCTCCCACATTTCCCACTGACCTTGACCTTCTTTTGTCAGAGGTAACCCAAGGCCAGGCTCCTTTCAGAGACATGCTCTTCACCAGGAAGAATCCTCACACCTTCTCCCTTCCTTGATGCCTCCCTCGCCCATGGGGCCAGCTTCCAGTTGAGAGGGTTCCTAGATTGCCACTCAGCTGCTTCCCCAGTGGACATACCTGGAGGTGTCTAGGGTCCCTGCTTCCTCTCCCCAGACCCAGTTGCTCCCTGTATCCCATGTGGTGTGTGGTGCCACTTACACAACTGCAGGCTTAGGACAGTCGCCGTTGGTCTCATAGTAACCCATGATTCGATAAGGCGAGACAGCATGGGTAATGTAGGAGAAACAGCACTCTGATGGGTAGAAAGGGCCTCCTGAGGAGAAAGTGTGGGGGACACAGGTGGGACCTCTCATTAGAGGCCATACTGCCAGCTTCTTCCACAACCTAAGAGTACTGTGGACAGAGAAAGGCACGAGACAGCCTCACAGAGTTAGAGAGATGGCTTTGGAGGAGCTCAGTCTACAGCATTCTGGCTCATCTCTCTCTCCATCAACCTCCCGATTGCTTTTCCTCAGCCCCTCCTGGAAAAATAGGCTGATGACTTTCAACTCCAGCGCCAGAAAGTATCAAACAGAGGGCTGCTCAGCAAGCACAACTTTCCCTGAGGGACAGATTCACAGAGACCTAGTGACTTGACCAAAGTCATGCAAATTCTGAGAATTTGTAACAAATGTGAACAGAGATTGACAGATCTCTGACCCAGATCCTCCCAGTCTCTCATTCCGTTCCCACCCAACCCATGCCATACAGAAAAGGAAAACGTTGACACCAAGCCTTTAGGGCAATGGCCACGAGTCAGGACACCCAAATTCTAACCCAGTTTCGCCTTTGCACTCTTTACTGGAACCATTTTGCATTCCCAGTCAGTTTCTTCCATTTTAAGTGAGACTTTGGGATAGTGTTTATGTTTGCTTCTCCTTCTTTTCTTTGCTATGTGAGGCGGTTCTGCTGGCGGCTGCAGGGACACACACCGCCTTGGCCCAGCACATGCCCGCCGCCGCCCCACTGTCCCAACCCGGCTCCCGTAGCTGCTCCCGGAAGTGGAGCCCGACATGGCTGCGTCCCAGCACCACAGCTACAATTTGTACCCGCGCCACCCAAGCACACTGAACGGGATGGTCACACTCGGGGGCCACCCCTGCACCCCCACTGGGGCCCTCCAAGACCAGCATCCCGCAGGCTGGCACGATGCTGCCTGGTTTCCTGCAGGGCACAGCCTTACCCTGACAGGAGGGCTGGAGTCCTAGGGAGTAAGGCCATGTTTGACATGCTGTGGGGTATGGTGGTTTTGTGGGCTGTTTTTTTTTGGAACCGGGAATCGAACTTTCAACGTCATGCTTGCCAGGTAGGCGCTTACACCGCTGAGCTAAATGCCCAGCCGTGGTCTGTGGTTTTAATACTGAGCTTCCTGAGCTCTTGAGAGTTTGGGGATTGCCTTGGAAGTGCCCTGCGTTTGAGAGTAGTGTCTTGAGGATTGTACTGTCTTCAGACCTTTTTCCTGTTTTACATACTGGCTTGTGTGGGAGACTTTTTTTGAAGAAAAAATTTTACCAGTTAGGTAATTTTTCAGCTATTTTCTAACCATGCAACGTCATAGCTCTTATAGGGGATAACAAGGGGTGACAGTGATGTCACCTTAATATGGTATTATGGACGTAGTGGGATGGGTGTGGCAGACCAGTGACTCTTCATAAAGAAGCACATGCTGTGCTTAATGGAGGGGGAGAATCAGATCCATGCATGTAATGTGATTAAACTGGATCTAAGTGTGAGTGTGCATTGTGGTGGCCTGAGGTCATTGAGGGTGGTCAGATGCTTGGGTGGAAAGATCTCTGATATCTGATGTCCAGCACCATCCCAACTAGTATCCTCACTGTTCAACGAATGGACTAAGGGAACCCTTGGTTCCAGGCCCACTCAGGGATCTCTCGCCTCAGCACTCTCAGCTGACAAGCGACTTTTCAGAGAGGCAAATCAGACTATCTAGATTTTACTTTAGACTAGCTTTATTTCAGCAACAATTTACATTTTATTGAGTTTCTGAAGAGTAAGTGAGATAAAATGGAAGATGATTGTCTACAAACGTAGCTTATAAAAAAAAAATGACCAAAAGTTCATTCAGGCAGACCTGACATTGCTGTGTCTCTCCATACCCAAGCTGTATCTGATTTTTGAGCTATTTTCTGATGTGAAATGTCATAACTCTTACAGAAGATGCCTGGGGGCGGGGGAGTGACAGCAGTGTCACCCGAATCAGGTGTTATACATAAAGTAGGATGCTGGGAGCCAGCACAGGGCTAGCTGATGCCACAGGCCGCTGAGCTCAAATCTCAGGAAGCCAGTAAACAGAATGCTTTGAGGGACTCCTCATATCCCTAGGGATATTACCCGCTAATGAATGGGTCACAATTATGCTCAGTGGCAGGGAAAGGAATTGGGGGAATAAAGAGACAGTCTGGCATCACTCCATGGCTTGAGAGGACAGATGAAGTTGAAGCCAGTTTAAGACGATGCAGACCTCCTTCCAGAGGTCCCCTCACCTTCCCAGCCACCTTATTCCTGCTTCTTTCTCCCGTAGGGACCATGGTGAAAGGAAGACAAGGTGTTGTACTCACGTGAGGAGGAGTGAGTCTTGGTCTCTAGGGTGACGGTGATGAGGAAGAGGAGCAAGGAGATGGTGACCATGGAGACCTTCATCCTCTGGAAGTGCTGCAGAAGCAGAGCTGGCCTGCTGCGGACTTCTGAGGCTCCGGAGGTGAGGAAACGCTGAGAAATGATCATTGAGACAAGATAGTAAGGGAACTAAGAATTTGAAAGGAAGTAGAAGAGCAGCAGATGTCTCAACAGTTTCATATCCTGCCCACTCAGAGGGTGGTGGTGGGGAAGCAGGGAGAACCAAGACTGAAGGGAGGAAACTGCCACCCATCCCCAGTGGGAAGGACTGGATATAAGCCTTTCCATAGGCAGAGGCCTCATTTCCTGGGGCTGGCCCACTGTCTTAGGGCTGGAATGTGTTCGGTACTTGATTGCAGTTTCAAGCCTCAGAACAAAGCTGTATGGGACCTGGTGGTTCAGGATCTGCTTTTGGAGATCAGAGGGAATTTGGGATAATGAGAGTAGGTTTGGGTCACTCAGATCAGGTCTTACTGATTAGAGCAATGAAATCCTCACTTGACCTCTGAAGCAGAATCTGCATTTCCATCCTCATCTCTATCCCCTTCTCACACTGGAGTGAAGCAGTTATATGATATCCAGTCAGAATTCATTTATATAATGGTTGCTATACACACCAGTTGTGGTGCCCAAATGCGTTGTGAATATTAGCCCACTTGATATCTATAGGGATTTAATCTTTCAAAAATTCCTGTTGAGGACTAGGGGTGTAGCTCAGTGGCATAGCGCCTGCCTGCCAAGCATGAGGCCTGAGTTCAATTCCCATTACAAAAAAGAAATCCTGTTGAGGAAATAAGCTGAGAAGCAGACTCTGGGATTTGATAGCTGATAAGTGGGGCTGGGATTTAGATGCAGCCATTTTAGTTCCCAAGTCTATATTGTAAATGAACATGGGAGCCCAAGAGGCAGTCCAAAAAATATCCTGCTAGGTTGGATTCCTCACAAGTCTTTAGTTTTACCCCTTTCTGGGCTCTTAGGGAGTGGATACCTTTGGAACCTTCTACTCTCTGACTTTTGTTGTAGAGAAATTTTCAGGGAACCTTAGAGAAAGCCTAGTGCAGGATAGCTATAGAGTTCATTGAGTAGTGGTGGACCAGAGCTCTGTGTTTGGCCCTGTTCTGAAGCCATGTGGAGGTGCATCAGGAAGAAGTGCTATCAGATACATGACTTCTGTTACAGTACAACTTGCCTACTGCAAGGACTCCTGCAAGGGGTTACTTTAAACTCGCCATTCAGTGAGTGGAAGCGAGGACTCAAACAGACTCAGTGGTTGCTCATGCCCACTTAGTTATCTGGATGCAAGATGGGTCCCACCTCTGTGGACTCTCAGTTTAGTGGCTTTCACCATGCTGTTCTTGGAGGCACTTCTTCTATCCTCTTTGCTGTTGTGGTTGGATAGCTGTTTAATCTCTCCTTACATGAAATCATAAAGATAGGAAACATCTTTTGCTTATTTAAAATTTTTTTTATTTTAAAGAGATTAAGACAAAAGAGGTCAGAACAAGGCAGATCAGAACAGAACAATGTAAGCAACACAGTACTTCACAAGACAACCCGATGTTAACAGTAGCTACCATAATGTCTCTTTCTTTGAAATAGTTGAGCATACCTTCACATACAATAGTATCAAATATAACCAAATAGTATAAAACCATTAAAGAGAATGAAACTATTACAGGGCATTCAGAACCAAATAACCAAAAATGAACAATGGCTACTATATTATCTCATTTTCCATAAAAATTTGTTTATACTATCACACATATTAAAATCCAATAAAACACAACATGATAGAACCAATGGAAACAAGAACAAAAGCATGGTAGGACTTCAAAACAAGATGATACTAAATCAGCACTGGCTATTGTAGTGTCTTGTTTTCTTCAAAATAGCTATTCATACCATCACAGATAATAAAATCAAACAAACCAGAATAAAACCATTCCAACTAATGAATGAAAACATTATAGGCTCCAGAGCAATGTAATGGAGAATCTTGATTACCATAAACTTTTATGTACTCTTACCATTTCTTGTACTAGGGAGACTATATGGTATTTATACATGTGAGTTTAGTTTATTTCACTTATGAGTATGGTCTCAAGTTGCATCCATTTATTTATAAATATCTCAATGTGATCATTCTTTATAGCTGAGTAGTACTCCATTGTATAAAAATACCACAACTTTTTTATCTATTCCTCAGTTGATGGACACTTGGATTATTTCCAAAATCTGGCTATTACAAATTATGCTGCTATAAACATGGGTACACATATATCACTGTGGTATGATGTTTTCAGTTCTTCTGGGAGTATGTCTAGAAGTGGAATAGGTGGGTCAAATGTGACTTCAAATCCCAGCTTTTTGAGGAATCTCCAGACTGACCTCCACAGTGGTTGCACCAGTCTACACTCCCACCAACAGTGCAGGAGAGTTCCTTTTTCCCCCGCAGCCTCTCTAGCATTTGTTGTTGGTAGTTTTCTTGATCCTGGCCATTCTTTCTGGAGTGAGATGGAATCTCAGTGTTGTTTTAATTTGCATTTCTCTAATGATGAATGATGATGAACATTTTTTATGTATTTATTTGCCATTTGTATTTCTTCATCTGAGAACTGTGTATTCATCTCCTATGCCCATTTTTGGATTGGGTCTCTGAATTTTGGGGATCTGATTTTTAAAAATTCTTTATGTGTTTTAGACAGAAGTCCTTTGCCTGAGGGACAATTCACTAAGATGTTTTTCCCTAGTTTGTGGGCTTTCTTTTTACTATGCTGGAGATTTCTTTTGACATGCAGAAACTTTTTAATAAGACATGATTGCAGTATTAATTCTGGGAAGTATTTCCTGTGCAGTTCGATTCCTGTTCATGAATTCTTTACCTACCCCTATGTTTTTAAGATGTTTACCTACTTTGTTTTCCAACAGATTTAGTGTTTCTGTTTTAACATTTAGATCTTTGAACCATTTAGATTTTAGTTTAGTACATGGTGATAGGCATGGGTCTAGTTTTAGTTTTTGGCATATGGAGAGCCAGTTTTTCCAGCATCATCTATTAAAGAGACTGTCGTTCTTCCAGTGAACATGTTTGGCCATTTTATTAAAGATGAGGTAGTTGAGTGTATTTGCAGTAGTGGTTGTATCTTATAATCTATTCCACTGATTTCAGATTTGTTTTGATTCCAGTACCATGTTGATTTTTTTTTATTTAAGGAGAAAAGAAAAAAAATAGTGAAGGGGTACAAGTTATACAGATTTATAGAAGAAAAAAATGCGCAGTAGGAAATCACTAGTTAATGGATTACATATTGCCATCTTAGAAATAATTGTTCAAGTCACAAAATTAAAGCTTGTAGAGTGGACATTCCAACAATGATACTGCAAACAGTTCCGTTCAATGATCCAATAAAACTCTGTGATATCATTTTCTATCTTATACACTTAAATATACATGCAGTTATATAGTTTAGAGCACTTTCTTTTCCTCTCTTTTGTACAATGACTATTACACATTTTGGGTTTCATTGCTCCCACGGTTCTTATTGCTTTTTTGGAAGAGAGTAAAACCAAATGTGACATAACAGAACAGAATCGGTCAAGTCAAAAGGGTGGACATAATAGATAATATAAAAACATAATACAAGGTGATCAACAATGGTTACCATAATGCCTCCCGCTATCTCTAATAGAATTGCCTATATCATTAGTTGTAATACAATTGAACAAAACAGTAAAGAACAAAACCGACAAAACCAAAACATTGGAGACATTGTAGGTCTTCAAAAGTAGATAAAAGTCAACGAGAATGGGCGTTATAATGAATCTCATTATCTTCTCAGATGATGCCTAAACTTTCGAACCTGATACTATCCAGTAAAACAGAATAGAGGAACCTCAGTCAAAAACAAGATGGTGAGAGTAATACAGGGCTTCAAATCAAGATAATAGAAAGTCAAAGTGGGTTACTATATTATATCCTGCTATTTTTTTCCCTTTAATTAAACGGATAAAAATGAAAAAGTAAATAATGGAGTGGAGATTGAGAAAAAAAGAGGGCATAACAGCGAAACAGGGCAGATCAAAACATAACCATTTAAGCAGAATAGTGTTTCACCACCAGATAATTCCGACCCAAAAGTAGTTACCATATTGACTCTTTCCTTGAAGTCCTTGAGTACAACTTCGTATACTGTAGCATTAAGTATATCAAAACAATGTAAAACCATTTAAGAGAATGACAGCATTATAGAGTATTTAGAATCGACTAACAGAAAATGAACAATGGTTTCTGTATAATCTCCTTGTCTTTAAAAGGTTTTTGCTTATACTATCGTACATAATAAAATCCAATAAGATACAACCTGTTTAGACCATTGGAGACAGAAGAACAAAAGCTAGATGAGACTTCAAAAAAAGATGGTACTAAATCAGTATTACCTATTAAGATGTCATTTTCTCCAAAATAGCTGTTCCTATCATCCAATCTTCTCTGTCTCATTTCTGTTGAGCTCTTTTTCTGTCAGTAGCTGTCAGTTCGTCTTCTTCATTTTGTTCTCTGCTCCATTCGTTGTGGCCTCCCCGCCACTATTTCTGGGTTCTTTGTATTTTTCTTTTTTTTAGAATATCCTGCAATACTTTCTGTAGGGTTGAATTGGTGGTTGCAAATTCCCCCAGTTCCTCTTTATCCTGGAAGCACCTCGTTTTTCCATCAATTTCCAGGGACAGTTGTGCAGGATATCTCAATCTTGGCTGGAGATTATTATCTTTCAAAGCTTGAATTATTTCCCCCCATGCTCTTCGTAATTTGATGGTTTGGCAGAGAAATCTGCTGTAATTCTGATGGGTGTTCCCTTGTAAGTGGTCTGTTTCTTGTCTCTTACAGCTTTTAATATTCTGTCCTTGTATTGAATTTCTGGAATTTTTATTATTATATGCCTGGGTGTTTCTCTGTTAGGGTTGTAGGTAGCTGGGGTCCTGTATGCCTCATACATCTGAGTATCTTTACCTTTTGCTAAATTAGGAAAATTCTCCTGGATTATTTCTGTGAGTAGCTTTTGTAGTTCACTTGTTTGTGTCCCTACTTCTTCTTTTATGTTCTTAATCCTTAAATTATGGCTCCTCTTATCATCTTCTTGTCTTTGTATTATTGGTGTTTGTTTCTTTGTTATTTTTAAGAAG